GACGGTTATGGTCGTTTGGGTACTTATGGCCCATGCGTACAACCAGTTGGTTGGTGGCTGCCTCACGACGCCCTTTAAGCATACGCAAAAGCACGGCGGACGTGTTGCCCTCCTTGTGACTGGATGGTGCATTCTCTTTGTCGTCATTGTGTTTTTCAACGTGCTATAGGTGTTGCGTCTACCGCTGGTGTTTGAGAATGTAGAGTGACAAATTCATGTGTCTCAATTTTGGGAGGTACGAAATGGTGGCCAGGGAAATGGGCCCCATGATGTCGAATTGCAACAGTTACGTTGGTCTTTAACTTGGCTCGATATTGTGTGCATCAGTTTTTATTCATTTTAATTATTGTGTTTATGCTATTTGATTTTGTCACTTTTTGTCATTATTTTTAGGGGGGAGGGGGGAAGTTAACAGACCCTTGTGGTGGATGATGTGAAGGAGGGAGGGAGTGGGTATGGCTGAACCGTGTGTGTATGCTCTGTCTTCCTGTGCATGGGTGTGGGTGGAGGGGTTTACGCGCGGAGTTAGTTATACGGTAAGGAAGTATGTTGGAAATAAAAATAAAAATGACTCTGAGCAGGAGACTGAGGAAGCAGGGGTGAGGATGCACGCAACAAGAGGCCCTTGGGGAAGTGTTGTATCCAAGAAGGATCACAGTGGCAGTTGAATTGGTGTTTTTTGTTTGTTTTTCTTTCTTTTGTTCTTTCTCATTATTGCGTACGCCGAGGGGTCATTGAAATTTATTTGCAAATGTTTCAGAGATGGTCCGCAGGCGCTGTTGTCGGAGACGTATCTAGCATGATCATCACCGCCACTGCAAGGCCGGCAAGGTTAGTAAGAGCCAACAGCGGTACTGCGATGGAGAATGGTTCTTTAAGTAGTACCGCATCGACTGCGGAGGCAACAGACGGTGCGATATATCGTTAACGTCTCATCCAGAAGATACTGTCACGTGACAAGGAAATATTTGAACTGAACCGGTAACATGAGCTCTCTATGCTGTGGGTAGAGCAAAACCAGCGTCGTATTTTGAAGGATCAGGAGGGCCGTGGCATGTACTATGAACAGAATTGTAATGTGCATACCTTTGACACCGTCTCCGTCGGTCTTTACACACAACGGAACACCCTCTACCACACCATGAGCGTCGAGCGGCTGCGAAATGTGAAGCTGCTTCTGACACTCCTTGTGACTCTTTTGGCGTGTTTATAACTTTACTATCGTTACATGATTGGCCCTGAATGGGTGTACGTGGAAAAACCATTGAAACTCATTGGTAGTCGAGTCGGGGCGTTGAATGATATCCGAGCGCACTGGAGTGAGAAAGGGGAGGAGGAGAGAATGGCGATGACGCAGTCAAAGCTGCGGAAGTAGAAAATGGCAGTCTTTCCTCGACGTTTGCCAAACTGGCGGTGTGTGTACAGTTCTTTTTTTTTTGATTTACGAATAACCGCATCAATGTTAAACGCGTCCCATCATCGTTTTTATGTATTTATTTATGTAGGCATATTATGCATGAGAGGAAATGTGACCCTTGCAAACTCCATTTTGAGTTTATTCTTCCTTTTTCAGATATCTTACTTTTTTCCCCTTACCTGAGGTGTCTCTTTTGTTTGAGTCACGCGGGAGACGCCGGTGGGACGCACGTGCGAATAAAGGAATTAGCTTGCACTAATGCGCCGCCTGTTCTGCAAAATCTGTCCCATGACACCCTTAGCCCGCGAAATGTGGCATGGTCGTAGCCTTCCGTCCACTCGACCCCAACACCGACGGCGTGGGTTCGGTGAGGCCCGTCACCCATCGGCACAACAGAACGAAGACAATGTCGAGGTGTCGCGGATAAAATTTCACACAGTACCGGCGCTGCAGGTGGACATGCGGGTGGAATCTAAGATTGAGTCGTTCTTGAGATCCCAGCTGCAGGGGGAGGGGTCGTCGCCGTCATTGTCAACGAAGCTGTTATCTGTCCCCAGCGTTCGTGTGATCAATGTTCCCAGGTCCACCTTGAAGCGCGCCGTGTTGGACTTCCACGTGCGAGGAAGATCGGTGCGGGCACTAGGGCAATCGTGTCGCGCCAAAAAGGCTCGGGCGCTCTGTTGCATGCATGCAGCAAGGCTTATTGACCACTTTTCACTGGACGATGTGGACAGCAGTGCCGCACCTCCGCCTCTGGAGGAGGGCACCGAATTAAATGGTCGTAGTAAATATATGAAAGGTGGGATGAGCGTTCGACGACAGTCTTCCGCCACGCCTCCGCAACCAGAAGAATATGGGCGATGGGAGGAGTATGTGGACGAGAGCAAACGATATATTGAAAAGCAAGATGAAAAAAGACGAAATGAGGCGTTTGAACAGCTGCGTATCCCTCTTAGTGGGAACCCATTAGTTGACAGAGCCGCTGTAATGACAGAACTGGAGCAACAGACCAACCGGTTGGCACTTCAAAAGCTTAACAATGAACTTCTGGGGGCTAGCAAGGAGGTGAACATTCTTCGCATGTCGAATCATGTCTTCGTCGCCACACTTATATTGGACAGCGCAACAAATCTTGTTGCTACTGGTGTAGCTGCTAGTTTACAGGAGGCAAAGCAGCGTGTCGCGATGCATGCGCTTTATATTCTTAAGCTCGTGAGGGAGCAGCGACAGTCTTTTATTGTGTGTGAAAACACATCCGCTGCTGTGAGCTGTGGCAGTTGTGCCTCTTCTGGCTCCACGTCGTTGAGCCTCGTTCCACGCTACTCAAAGATGCTGGATTTTTTTACACTTCTCTTTGGTGTGGCCCCGAGTCCTACCTTCACGAAGGAGGGAGGCTCCTACATTTGTCGTATGCAATTGGATGGGGTCATCTGCACAGGACGGGGCACTGACAGGTTTGAGGCTGAGCGCCAGGCTATAGAAAACACCTTGGGAGAGATGGAGTTGTATGATGAGCGGCTACAGGGCATTAACAGCATCATTGCGCAGTACCCGAACATTCAGCCACGGTGTGTGCCGACTGTCAAACTGCCGGAGGCGTTGAGAGATGAAATCCATGCTTTTCTTCAGCGCTGTCAAACAGAACTTCACCTTCAAGATGATGCAGCTGCAGCGGGAAGCGATGTTCACGACGGCACTCCTGGCAAGGTTTCAATGGACGATGTTGTAGAGGACGAGACCCGAACAACGATCAAGGCCCTGGAGAATGTCACACACGATGAGGCCTATGCGAGACGTCTACGCGAACGTTTGTGTGAAGTTAGGGCGAACACGAAATATCTTGAGCGGTTTCACCCGCGTCGCTCAAGCCTGGCGATTGCGTCTGTGGAGCAACGTATACTGGAGGCGATGGACCAGCACCGTGTTGTTGTCGTTTGTGGGACGACTGGATGTGGCAAAACAACCCAGGTTCCGCAGTACATCCTCGATAGGGAGATTATGGAGGGACGGGGTGACCGTTGTTGTATCGTCGTGACTCAACCCCGTCGACTGAGTGCGTTTAGTATTGCGGATCGCATTGCAAGTGAGCGCCTGGACGTGGTGGGGAAGGATGTAGGGTATGCCGTGCGGTTGGATGCTCGGCCGGGGCGCCACATCACGCTCTGCACCACTGGTGTGCTGCTTCAAATGTTGTCCGGTATGCCGTCACTAGACGCTGTGAGTCATCTTGTCATTGACGAGGTTCATGAACGTGACATCAACTGCGATGTGGCACTGGCGCTTGTCAAGCAACTTCTGCTGCGCGGCCAAAACCCAAAATTGAAAGTAATTCTTATGAGCGCTACGATGCAGTCTGACATGTTTGCATCTTACTTTGGCGAGGTTCCTGTGATCACCGTCGAGGGTGCGGTGTACCCGGTGAAGGAATGCTACCTGGACCACGTGGCTCAGATTTTCCAGCAATCCCTTATTCCTGGGTACTACAGCCCCATGTTTGACTCCCTCAGCAACGTGGCCGCGTCACAACGTCGCACCACGCACCGCGGCAGGGGTGGGAATCGAGGAAAAAAATGGCAGCTCACAGTGCCGCTAAAGACAGACTATACTCTTCTTGCACTTCTCATTGAACGAAGTGTGTTGGTGGATCTACACGGGGATGTTGCAGGTAAATCTGTACTTGTGTTTCTCCCAGGTTGGAAAGAGCTTTTAGCAGCAAAGCAGGCTCTTGAGGCTTTAAAGGGAGAGCAGCAATATCATATTATTCTCTTACACTCCTCTGTAGACGCGCGAAAGCAGCGGGAGTGTTTTTTACCAGCGCCCGAAGGATATGTGAAGGTGGTACTCGCCACGAACATTGCTGAAAGTGGCATCACTATTGATGATGCGGCGGTGGTGATTGATACCGGTCTCATCAAGCAAACCTCGTGGGTGTCGCGTGTGCGGGAAAAGGATCAGGAGCAACATGCCTCTTCGTATTCCACTCAACTTGCTTTACAGTATGCAAGCCGTGCTAATTGTACGCAACGCAAAGGTCGTGCTGGGCGCACGCAAGGCGGGATTTGTTATCGTCTCTTCGCGCGAGAGGTATGGGATGTGCTGCCTTCCTTTCAAGAGGCGGAAATTCATCGTGTCCCGCTCACACAAGTCCTGCTTACACTCTTGTCACTTGGACACACAAATCCCAAAGAGACGCTTGAAGCGTTTATTGAGCCGCCCTCAAAGAAAAATGTTGATGCCTCAATGCGGCAACTGCAAAGTTTAGGGGCAGTGACGGCAGATGAGAAGTTAACGCCGCTTGGGTTGTATTTGTCGCGGCTGCCATGTGACCCACGCATTGGAAAGATGGTTATGATGGGCGCCGTGTTGCGTTGTCTGGATTCTGCTCTAACGATGGCGGCAACGGCGGATATCAGTCCATTTGTGTCTTCCCGCGAGGTCTCTTTTGAAGTGCGACAACGACGTCACCTCTTCTCAATGGGATCACAGAGCGACCACATCTCTGTGTTGAATGCTTACAATGCCTTCTGTGGTCGCCAAGGAGATGCTGCCTTTGCCAACGAAAACTATCTTAACGGAAGTAGCATGCGGATTATCTCCCGCTACAAGCAACAGTACCGTGATATCCTGCGTCGTTCAGGGTTTATACGGGATGGAGAGTCTATCTCTATTGAAACCCTTGACGATGATTTCATCACATCCAACGATGGTGCAGCGGCACCGTTGCACGTTGACTCCGGTCCACTGTCACTTGATGCCGCAGATGTCACACTCGTTAAGGCCTGCCTCTGTGCATCGCTCTTTCCTAACGTGGCCGTGCTTGATCCCACCCCGTTGCTGCAATCTTGTAAGAGAGTGAAGACGCTGGTGATGCGTACTGCCACGCATAGGAACATATCACCTTCAAAGGATAGTGCGTGCCGCTGTCTTGGGCCTCCCCGTGCTAATGGCGTTTTAACGTCAAAAGAGTTTTTTGCTGCCGATGCAGGGCGCGGTGAGAATGATCCTGTCATTCCTTCCAAATTTTACATGTACCAAGGCATTTTTTGCGTGAAGGACTCTAAGGAAGAGTTTCTCACGCAAGTCTCTTCAGTCAGTCTGTGGGCACTGCTGCTCTTTGGCGTCGGTGAAGCGGACATGCGGTTTGACCCTTTTTTGCAACTGTGCGTTGTCGGGGGTTGGATAGGCATGCACATTGACACCAAGTCCTTTTCCACGCTGCAGGCACTCCGTTCCACCCTGCACACCTGTGTCTGGAGAAAGTACCAGAAACCGGATGACGAGAAGAACAATGAGGCACTTGAGGTTCTCAGACGCCTCTGCAAGGAGGTGTTAAAGTCACCACCAAATGACAAAGAGCAGTACATCAATCGTCTTGTTGATACGGGGCGTATTCTCTCTCCGTCACGGCTTGAGCCACTCTCTACGGACCCCGATGACGATGGCAGTGCATGGGAGTGATGCTCATACATATAAGCACTAAGAGGCGAAGATTCAAAAAGAACAAAAAAAAACATTGTTTTATCTTTTACTCTTTTTTTTCTTTTGCGTTGTTCACAGAAATTTATATAAGGTGGTCGCCCTATATTTTACCTACATTATTTTGCCTTTATTTCTCTAGGCAATTGAGGAACTCATGAAGGGGTTTCGTGTGGAGTGCAAGCTTTTCCTGGGGCAGAGTCGTCGATGCTGGGAGTGGTGCTTTTTATCTTTACCCCCAGGGCATCCTTTGTTGCTGTTGTTGCTGGTGGGGGAGGGACGGAAATGAAGTGTGTGCTCCCCAGCATTTCACTTCTTGTATTGATGTTTCCCCTCCCCCATGTGTCAGCAATAAGTAGGGGAAGGGGTTGAGAACGCACAGTTATCATGGCTTTATGTTCCCAACATGCGTATGTGTCTTCTTGCTTTGTTGGTATAGTTGTTGACGTTTTTTTTTTTGCCTCACTTGGTGTCTCTCTCGCATGTTTTTACTCAAATGGAAGACAACGGCTGCGGAGGCGACATGCCATCGAGTGGCAACATCAGTAAAGACGCAAGCCCTTATGTCTGTCTCTCGGCCCATTGTGATTTACTGCATTTTGTCGGTCCAGTGCCTCATCCGTACGGTGGGCCAACACCGCAAACAGTTACGGAACGTGCTGCGCGATACACGCGTTTTGCCTGTGAATCCTGTGAGACGGCACCGACAGTGACAGTGCAATGCGAGCATTCGCTTTTTTTGCCCGTTCCGACTGCAAGGACGGCTGACGGAGTGCCATCCTTCCCGCTGAACGGCATTGAGCTAGCACGATGGGCGTACCGGGAGAACTTTGAGTCCACCGCAGCTCAACCGCACCTGGACCCACACGAGAAGAAACTTGGTGTCCGTCGTCCAATCTCGCATGGTGATTCCATCAGTACACTGCATGAGCCTATGCTGCCACAACAAGCCTCCGCAACCCCACCAGTAGAAACTGCATCCGCTACTGTATCGGGAAATTCTAGCTATACCGTAAATTTCCACGCGCTGCGTCGCACTATCCTGCAGGCATTATTCATTCTAAGTCTCCCTAAGAGAAGCCCCGCGGCCTCCTTCACATTATCTGTGCACGATCCAAGCCCTTCTGGGGTCACACGTTTCTTTGTCCTTCCTCGATGCGCGGAAAATGTGGCGATGCTGGCACACCCTGCGATGGTGAGTCTTAGTATTGCAAGAACCACCGATGGTGATAGACTCCATTGCTGTTGTCAGTGCCGAACCGAGAAGGATGTGGAAGAGAACAGAGACTTCTTTTTACCACTCTTATGGGAATTAAACGAGTGGGATGAAGGAGAACAGTACTCCTCAGAATCGGTTGAGTTGAATCATTTTCTCAATGAGACAATGATTCCCGCATTGTTTGCATTACCAGAGAGTCTCTCAAGACCCACTGAAAGTGAAGCTGTTCAGGTATCGCAGGCAGTTGGTTGGTCTCAGAGACGCTCATTTCACTTCTTGGCACTGATTGCACACTGTGTGTGGTGCGAAAAAGTGGCCTTGTACATCATCGGTCGTAACACTGAGTCAATGGCTTCGTATGGACGCTGGAAAGCGCGTTTGAAATTACGGGACAGTGCCTCCTTAGAGTCCACTGGCAAGTGGGAATCGACATTGTTGTTTTATCCCATGGCGTTCCATGATGGATGCTCACATCCTCAAGGCACAAGAGGGCGCTTAGAAGTCGTTGACATCACCGCCACTTCATGTGCAGCATTGCTTCAGGTAACACTTAGGGGGTGCGATGAGAAGATGAACTTGGACTGGGGTGGTGAGGCACCTCACGCATCCACCGGGAGTCTGAGTGACCTCGTGGAGCTGCATGAAAGGAAGAGATAATGACTGTGTCTGCGGGTGTGATGTGTGCAGTGGGTTTGGACGGCGAATAAAGGAGAAGAAGAAAAAAGAGTCACACAACTAAATGGCACTGCTGCTTCTCTTTCACAAACGGAGCAGAGGGGTTGCAGCTGTTGGCTCTGAGGCGTGTTTTGCCCGTACATTTGCTACTATGTTTCTTGTCGGTTCATTGATACGTCATCTGTGTACTTTCTTGCATAAAAAAGTCTATGGGGTAGTGAAGACGAAGCAAAACACAAGATAGGATTAAAAAGCAAACACAAGGTGGATCCGCCTTTTAATTGCTTTTTGTGTCCTTCAGATTGGTAGAAAAATTCCCAAAAGATGGTGATAATGATCATGTACTACTTGCCCGGTGCACTTGCGGTACTCTTCTTCAGCAATGCTGTGATGGCGATAGAGCGCTGCCGCCCCATTGCGAACCTGCGAGGCATCAATCCGCGTATCCTTACCATGCCAACAGCAACGTTTTACCTTGATAATGAGTACTTCTGTGCTGATAAGGCACCCCTGCAATTTTACTGCCAGTGTGGCGTTGTCTCCATCTGTACGAAGCATGAGGATCCTTGGGGCAGGGATATTGGAGTGTGCGGCTGCTGCCCCTGGTGGATAATTGTTTTATTTATCTTATTTGGCATTGTCGTGGTAGCGTCTGTCAGCACTGTCCTCTATGTGTGGTTCTGCCGGGGGAAGTGGTGGTGGGATGGTTATCCACCGCCGATTAGGTTTGTCATGTGCCGCCGCGGGCCTTCCACAGTTGTGCCCGCCACAGGACCGCTTCCACCGAACCTCTTTCGTGGCTACCGCATTTCTGACTTTGTGAGTGGGTCAGCAGACCCGCAGCTGACACACGCGACTGCCGCGGCATGTAACAGCACTGAGTCAAGACGTTTGACAGATGAGGGCCAACAGCTTTCACATCAACAACAACAACAACAACAACAGCGAGAACAGCAATTGCGCCTTTGTCAGCGAACCACTCTGCATTCCCTTTAGTCGTGGCATCCAGAGGTGTTGAGGGCAGGCTGTGTAGCACGAAACGCCACAAACCCATGGCATCTTCATTCATGATTCACCGTTCGACGATGCGGCAATTCATCTACTACACTATTCAGAAGCAAATGAAGGATGGGGAAAAGGAGGCGAAGGGAAGTTAAAATCAACTTTTTGGTTCCAAATGAAAGGCTTTTTATTGGTTAGTTAGCTTTTTAAAAATTGTGTAGATGAGCGAATTCCAACGCCTGGAACTCCCAGCAGTGTCCTTATTTCACGTGACTTTTTTTGTGTTCCCCGTGGCATTCAAGCACATGCGAATAATATGGAATTATTTCAGGCATGTTTGTCAATGCCTGGCTTACTGCACCGGTGGGGGGAGGACTGAATACCGTTGAGGCGGGGGAGAAAATGGAATTTGAAACTGGGATGCGCTGGAAGCTTACTTCCGCGTATGAAGTGAGTGTAAGTAGTTGTGCTTTTTCGCGGCACTTTCTGAAACATGTGTCTTTCCTACTTGCATCCTAACTACCCCACTAGCCCAGGATCCTGTCTTGTTGTTGTTGTTTTGCGGCGGGACGTTGCGGTGTTTCAAGATTTGCTCTTTTTTTTTATTATTATTACTTTTCTTCTTTTTTGCGATTATGCCTTTTCATTCAAAGGATGTGTGGTAAATAGTACTCATTCACCATTGAGTCAACGATATAGCCCGACAGTGTAGAAGAATGTCCGTGGATCCGCCTGGTTTGGGTACGAACATTACTGCAGGTGCTGCGATCTACATGAAAGAAATTATTCTACAAAATGAGGCTCTCCTCCTTGAGGTTGAGCAGCTGCGCTTCCTTGTAAAAGAGAAGGGGCTTGATCAGCTGCGTCAGCTGCGTGAGGAGAATGAAGGACTTCGGCAGCAACTAAAGCTGTCCGAGTCACAACTAGTAGAAAGAACACATCAGCTGGAGGTGCTGGAGTCTGCATATGATCGCTTTGACGGGGTCCACACGGTTGTTCAGGAACTGGCGGATCAGCAACGCCTTCTTTCTGAAATGAGGGAACAAAGCGTCACTCTTGAAGAGCAAAACGCGGCGCTTAAGACGGAGTTGCTCAAAATGAGTGGCTCAGAGGACGAGTTGCGAAGAGCGCTGCAGGAAGCAGAGCAAAGTCGCCAGATGTTAGAAACAAAGGTGATAGAATTGCATGCGTCCATGGAGGAAATGAAGTTACGTTTAGAAATTATGGAGACCTCGAAGTGTGCGGCAGAGAGGGCGCTTGAAGAGGCAAAAGCCGCCAATACGGAAATGCAGGCCCACGCAGAAGCCTTGCAGGAAAAGTGCGAGGCTCTCAACACACGTCTCTGTGACACTAAGCGCAAAGCCGAGGAAACGTTTCAGATTAAGACTGAGAAACAGATTAAGTTGGAGATAAAACTGCAGGAGGAACTGCGTGTAGCAAAGGAGGCACTTGTGGCGCAGCAACAAGAAGCCTCAAAGGCGCTTCTGCAACAGCGCAATCGATTGGAGCAAACACTGCGGCAGGAGTCTGCGGAACTTAGGCGTACGCTGGAGGCGAAGGAGCAATCCCTGCGTGAGCAGGTGAGACAGAATATGATTCAGAAGGAGGAGATTGCACTACTGAACGCTGAAAAGGAGAGTATGAAGTGTCGCCAGCAGGAATTGCCTACCGATCTCTCGCGCCTTAAAAACCGATTAAAGGAGCTTACTGAGGAAACGTCCAAGAAGGAGGCACTTCAGCAAAGGTTTCAGCAGATGCTTACAAGCACCACAGCCACCAACAGCGATATTAAGCATCTTTTTGAGCAGATGCTAGACTATCAGGAACGGAGAGATGAGGAGATGCTGACGATGGTGGCCGTTGAACAGATTAAAAGGGACGATATGAAGAACGCGTACGAAGTCGATCTGGAGAAACTTCGCACAGAGCTAAAAACTCTTACTTATGAAATTCATACCCTGCAATGTGGGCGAGCTCCCGCCGTCGCTGAAAGAAAAACTGCAGTAACATCTCTGGTGTCGTGTGACACCGCGCAGCATGAGAAGGTAGCGATGGGAGCTAGCCAGACACGACGGCCACAAACAGCACAGACGAATGCCAAATTGCCGATGCCACTGGCTCCAAACAAGACGCCGGGTCCGTCCACCAGAACTGGCGGTAGTGGCGGTGACGATGTTGGTGTTGGTGGTGGCAACGATAGCAATATTATAGACGATTTGTGGTGTCATCCTCCACAACGAGCAAGTGGAGGGCATGCGACAGCGCAGCATCACCCGGCTCCTTTGCGTTCCTCTCACGTGAGGCACCCAGAGTTGCTGGTTTGTTCCCGATGTACACTTGTTAATAAGCCAGGGAAGACCTTGTGTGACGTCTGTGGTGCCTCCCTCCGAAAGAAACTACCAAGTGTGGAATAAGGATGGGATTCTCCATTAAAAGAGGGGATGACCAAGCAGGCTCTTGTACATTATATTGCCATTGTCGGCACGGGGGTAGGGCAGCTTTTAAAAAAAAAAAAAGATGTGAGAGAGGCCAATTAAGGTGGAAACATTCTTTCACTTTAAGCGGGTATCATTACCTTTTGCATATGGTGATGTGGTTTTTTTTTCCATTGTTTTTTTTAAATGTTGGTTTGTGTGTGCTGCCGCTTTTGATCTGGTCTATAAAGCGGGTGCAAAGTGGTTATTTACGTATCTGGCTGAAATGTCATGCAGACGTGCCTTCTTCCATCTCTATGCTTACGAGGTGCCGAGTTGAGGCAGCACCTATGAGTCCCCTTTGGCCTGGCTTGTGGTTTTCTGATCGCTACGTGGTTGGGAGCGGGTGACTGTTAGCTTGTATTAGCGTGTGTTTGTTGTGCACGTTGCTCTGGTACTGCGAAGCCTACTCGTTCAGCTGCGGAGTGTTGTAGGAATTGTTCTACTGTGTTGCCTTCAATTTTCTCAGTAGCTCAGAAGGCGTTTAAGCTTCTGGAGCCTATGACAGCAGCCGCTAGGGGGAAGAGAGAAACGAGCAAAAGAGCTTGGGGAAGATAAATTTGCATGCTGGCTTTAAAAACTTATTTTCCGTTTATCCCTCCCTAGCTTGCGAAGGGAGCAAGTAGGGGGCGTTGGTACTTGACATCGACAAGCACCCCTCTGCTGGGCTGTTTGCACAAGTTCTGGGTGGTGGTGTGTGCATATGCTGATGCGGGTTCTGGCATGCGTTTATGGGACGATGCGCCTGGTTCGGATGAGATCCAGTGCGTTGTGGAAGAGAAGAACGCGAACAAATGCACGCATATATATATATATATATATATTTCTGACTGAATGTCTTTCCATCAGATAAGAGATGATTGTTTTGCAGGTTCTGCTGGGAAACATGTTTCGATGAAGGAATTGGGAGGCTATGCCTTTGCTCAACTGTGTTATATATACCCACACATGCAGCGCGGCATCCAATGATTTTCGATGGAAACAAAAGAAAACTACATATGATGATGCAAAGCACGTCATTCATTCCATTCTTGTTTCCATAAACAAAATATCACTTCATATATGATTGACCTCCCTCCACCCACCCACCCACCCACCCCACAGGGCATGCATCAGCTACAGCTGCGACATTATTAGGGCCCATCCGTTCATCTGTGTTTGTGCGCATGTACGTATGTTAATGTGTCATTTATGCGAGGCTTACTCAGTGATTTCCTTCGCCTTTTTTTTTCTCACCTTGCCGTCCCGTTCACCGCTGTTTGTGTGGTTGGTGTCCTGCTACATGGGCTCCTTTCGCCACGCTTATTATCCATTCACGCGCGGTGGTTGTGTACTGTCTTGTTTGGTGTGGCACCACCCTTACTGACGTTGCTTAGCCAACACAGTTACCTCACGTGCAACTCACACGGTGCAAACACGCCAACCCGATAAAGGATATAATTCTATTTGAATCTTTCAGTGGTGGAGTGTGCCTTCTATTGGACGCCCAGCGACATCGTGAAAAGGAAATAAAAGTTGGTTCTCTACGGTAAACGCGAAGAACAGAGGTGAGCCGAGTTTTTTCAAGCATTTTTAATCGTTTAGCCAGAAAACAAAGACAAAAATAAAAAAGAGCGAAAGAAGGATTTTGTTACTTTCTCCAAACCAACAGGACACAAAATGGAGATCATCGATAGGCCACTCAGTGAAATCATCAAGGAGCAGAAGATCGGCGAAAGCCTACGTAAGAACCGTCGTGGTGGTGGTGGGCGTGGTGGGCAGCAGAACACCCGCGGCAGTGGGCGCGGCGCACCCCGAAACGACCGCGGTAACCGAACGACGGGGCGTGGTGGCCGTGGCGCGGGCGTCCAGGATCAGGGACGTCGTCACCGCCGCCCTCTGCGTCCTCGTGGCAACAACGACCGCTTCCGTCGCCTTGGATTCAACCTCGACAATCGTGGTGGATTCGGTGCCCGTTACAGGCGCCGCAACGCAGTGGACGCTGGCGACGACCGCCGCGATCGCTCCGTAAAGAGCACCGTCACGCAGCGTTACGGGAAGGCAGCATTTGAGCGCAACGACCGCATCAGGGACTCTCGCCGGCGTGAGGCCCTCTTACGCGCTCGCTCCCGCTTCTCCCGAGACTAGATGGAGATGTGGAAGACGGCACGTGGAGAACTGCTTGCTTATGGAGAACGGCATGGTAGAAGGACCTTGTGTTCCTTTGTTTTTTTCCTTTGTTTTGATTTGTTTTCCCTCCTGCGCATTGCGCTGGAGGCGTATGAACAATAACTGTTCAGGAAGAAGAGCGGTGCGAACGATGGAAAGAGAGGGGGGTGAGGACTGCAGCAATCGTTAGTTGCGCCGGATGGGTTTATGCAAAGATGAATGGTGGTTAGTGCTAACGAGGGGATGGGCGTCTTTAATTTTAGGAACGAAGGCCAAAAGATGCCAAATACGGAATGTCACGGAAGGAATTATTTAAATTGAAGAAACAAAGAACGACAGAAGGAAATAAATCGACGGGGGAATAAATATAATCAAAGAGAAGGGAAGGGAAGGAGTAGAGTGAAATATGCGCAGAAAGACGCATGCACAAGCAGGAACGCTGGTAGAAAGGAGAGTGAAAGAGTGGGTGAAAAAAAAAAAGTCTTCAGTGAGGTGGTGAAGAATTTTCCTGGGTATAAAAACTCTTTTTTTATTATTATTTCTTGTGCACTTCTAAAATGTTATGCCTGCACGAATTTGAACAGCAGACCGAGATATAGCCACATTCATGCACGTTACATACACGCACATTGATATGGTTGCCTTACTTCTCTTCCTCTCTTTCTGCTTTGTAAGCATGTACATACCTCTGTATGTGAGTCGTTGCTTTTGTGTGTCTGCCGATGGTCGTCTCGAAGATAATAATATATTATTGAACAGGAAACGTGGATAATAAACACAATCAAAGAAAAAGAAAAGGTAGGAAAATGGAATGAAAGATAGACGACAGTAGCAAGGATGTGTGGAGACGCTAATTTATTTCTTTGTTGTTGGTACCATTGTATTCCTCCCGTTTGTGTTTGTGTTTTGTTTTGTTTTATTATTCTCTGCTGAATATGTCAAAACATGGTGGAACACCGTGCCACTTTATGTACAACTACTTGTGGACACAACAGGAGAAGAAGCTGGCCCCGAACACCTGCTTTTTCGCCTGTGTCAATGCGTGCCACACGTTTTAAACCTGTGGATACCAAACTATCTATTTTCTATTTCCTTACTCTTTGCTTTTTCGTGGATAAGGGAAAAGAGGAAGAACGGCAAAGCAAACAAAAAAAAAAAGCGGGCGTCTGGGGCGGTGGGGTTGGGTTTATTATATTCCACTCAGACTTTTCCTTGTGCCGTTTTTTCTTAAATCATCGGAGCCTGTCGATAGAATAGGGGCAGGGTGCGTGAGACACGGAAAGGCGAATAGAATACGCTAACTGCAATAGTTACTTGTGAAAACATTCATTTGCATTCCTGCATTTGCATCGCTCTGCCTATGTGTGTGCGGGTGTGCGGGTGGGTGTGTTTTACTGACTGACTACGGTTTTGGTGGGCAAGAAGGAGGAGGCAAAAGTATTTAGTCACAACTTTTTATTGAGAAATAAAGATGCTGCGATGCACACAACGCTGACTACTACTCAACGTCTCGGGTGAGAGTCCATCGTTCCGCTCGAAGCCTTTGCGGAACCTTCAGATGGATGTCCAGATGAGCCTTTATAAGGAGCAGTTCAAGTTCTACTGGTCCACACCGATGCCATTAGGCGGAACGCGAATACAGTGAGAAGCTAAAGCTTGGAGCTCCTATTCCTACGCGCCGCGCAGCCACAACTATCGTAGTGGGCAAAAACAAGCACGTGGATCTTGACAAAGGTAGAGCGAGGTGAGGACAATGACTACAAGGTGTTGATGATGTTCCGTGAGTGAAAAAGCCGCTTTGTACGGTACCAGTTTATTTTTTCATCTTTTGCTATCACTTTGGAGGGCACCTCAGAAGACTGGGATACAATTCTGCGTCGTCGTGGTGTGACAACGGAGTGGACGGATTTGCATCACCGACTTTGTGCAATGCGTGCACTTTTTGCACAAATGAATATTCTTTTGGTGCCCTAAGAAGGCGGTGGGCTTGTAGAGGTTGAAGGACCGCCTGGGCCAAAGAAGTGGCATCTTCTCGTGCACTCCCAATCAAAGGCGATGAAGCATCTTGTGGATGTAGTTGAGTTACCCATGGAGACGTGTCTGTCACAGCTGTTTCATTTTCGATGCAGCATCACGCCAACAACAGAGACGTTTCGGTTTGACAACCTTATTTACTTGGTTTCCTTTGAAAAGCTACCTGACGTGCGGTTTACGATTAGCACGGTAGGCGAGAAACTCGTGTGGGTTTCACCCATGGAGGCCATGGCGAGGTTTAATGCCGGTATCATGAATATGCCTACGCCAAACGTTATTGCGTTATCAGAGCTTAATAATGAGTGTCCTACCTTTGCGGATGTAATAAAGTGCAAACCGCACGATGCATATCGCTCTGTGCTCCCTGAACTCTACCATCATTGCCAAAGCAAGGTCGCCACCGTCCTTCTTCCTGGTGACATCATGCACCCCATCACCACGGAAGAATACAAGGCGGAAAGATATATTCGTTGATTTGTGAAAGAAAGGGGCTACCCTTTTGGTGTTCGGGCGGTTTTTGAAGAGAGGCCTGCAACACAAGATGAAATCAATAAACCTTTGGTTTGCCACGCACCAAAGTTGCTGGAAGAGGCCAATGAAATGGATATGGTTTACGCAGATACCCCATACCCAAAGCGGGAGAAACATCCGGAAAAGATTGGCCTTACTCGTTTCCCTGTTCCAAGTTATTCTTTTCAAGAAGGTGCTGAAAACTAGGAAGGTGACATACGCGTACGCAACAGAAACATTGAGAGTGTCGGTGACCTTTACTCACACACAAATTGAATTCATGTGATTGAACTTGGTGTGCCTCCCACCAATGTCAGTCCATATATATTTTGCAAGAGGTTGGATCTTCCTGCTGTGAGGGAGGGAACAACGATGAAAGTTCTGGGACGTCGCGTTGTTCTGCGGAGAAGATTATATTTTTTTTGTAACGCCTTTGTACCTTACCCTGCATCCCCCTTGTTTTTTTTCTTGTTTTTGAGCGGGATTATCCACAGCGTTATTTCCCCTCATAGTCCTCCCCTTTCTCGTTTGTCGTTTCTCTCTGCATTCTGGTGGCTGCTGCTGGGAGAGGAATGAAGGTGTCTTCCTTCATCTCACAGTTAAGGCCAGGGTGGTTTCACCTCACCGTACACGCCAAACCAGGCGCAAGGAGTTCATCCTTGGCATCTAAACCTGCCGTAACGGATGCAGCACTTGAGGTCCGCGTCGGAGCACCACCCACAGAAGGAAAAGCCAACGTTGAACTCATCCACTTCATGCAGATGATCCTTGAGCAAGAACTGACGCGGTTGCGCACGGTGCAGCAGCACACACTGAAGGAAGGCAATGTGGAGACGATGAACTGCCCTCATGAGGGCCTTTCAAAAGGGGGCCGGAAGAAAACGAACATCAAAGCGAAGAAAAAAAATTCAGACGCAAAGACGGAATGCCCTTTAAAGCTTCCAGACAAAGTACGGGTGTCAATTGTGGGTGGGGCAACTGCTCGACATAAGACGCTAGAGGTGGCGTTCCCAGGGACGGAAGAGGAACTAATCAGTGTGTTAACCTCTGCGTTCATGTCTTAATAATTGCGTCACCGATGTCTTGTTCATTGCCTTCTGTCGTTGTTTTTTGTTGTTGTTATTACTGTGAAGGTGGACTGTGCGACCCATCTATGATGTGCAGACCAAAGAAGGGGAAGAGTGTTTCTTTCCTTATTTCTTCTGCATACTGCTGCTGTGGTTTGAGCGTTTTGCCTGCATGTGCGTGTCCACACATTTTATTGGAGATTAGTAAATGTTGATGCATATGCCCTCTTGTCTTTCTTATGACTCTCTTTGTGGTTGGTAGGCGCTCATCTGGTGCAGTTGCCTTTACCATTCTCTGACGTAGATTGCAAGCCTGCAAACATATTTGTTTTGGGTGAAGCGGCATAACTTTTTCTTGTTCTTATCAGGGCAAATACGTGTGGGTTCAATGCATACGTTCTACACTATCCGCTACCCGCCACCCAACTCCCAGAAAGGGACAGAAGAAAGCCAACCGATCCGTGTTACCAACAAGGCCATGGAGTCACTGCTTTTTTGCATTGTGCACTCGATCGAGTTTCAAAGCCCCCTGCAACCAACAAGGTTTCATTTGGGGCCCTCCAACAAGGACCCCGTCCCGGAGGGTGAGGCATATGTGCGTCCGGAGGAGAACTCGAGCACGCTGCTGGGGAATGTGACGTACGTGTCGCGATCAAAGCATAACCCAAGTGTTCTTGCCTCGCTCCATGCAGCTGTTGAGGCGGCGCGTGCCATCCCAATTCCCGAGAAGAGCAGTCAGGTCCCCTTTGAGCTACGGGTACGGCTTCTGCGCCGGCACCGCGGTTGGTTGTGGCACGACTCTCGACCGCTATTGGAGTGGGTGTTTCGTATGACCAAAACGAGGGAGGAGTTTAGCTTTGCTGCCGGCCGTGGCGATACCGGTGGGCGGCCGTATTCTCATACACCCCCATTTGCAACAATTGCCCGCGCGAAAGCGGGGCGCGCTGCCGGGGGAGTAGGACCCAACCGCATGCAGGAGGAGGGACTGGTGTGTTCGAACGATCCGGAACAGATTCGCCACGTTTTGCAATTTATCCTGAAGCACAGCTACGACGCCATCGACCTGAACACCTACGCCGACTTCCGATCTGGAGAGTTAGTCTTTGATGTGTCCGTGCAGGAGGTCCAGTGAGAGGTGTACAGCGGGACCAGGAGGGGGGTAGTGTGCGCGTCTGGCCTGACCATAGCTATTTTTCTCTACCCGGCTTGCTTCATTGAATGTACCTCAGTTTGTTGGAGTTCTTGCTCACCTGTGACTGTGCTTCTCTCTGTGTGTGCGTGTGTGTGCCTCTGTAAGTGTGACTAGCGGGATACCAAGGCTTTTACTGAGCTCTTTGTCCTTCTTTTGGGTTGCGAAGTGGTATGTGGGAAGAGCCATTTGATAGCCTTTTCTGTTTTGCTACTTCCGCACAAGTCTGGAAGTGGACAGTGTTTTGGGGAAAATAGGATAATAGAGTATGTATGTCTCTTTCGACAACCCTGCTCTACGACATCCTCTCATTTTATGAGGGCTCGGACGTCCCATTGGCACTTGTATTTACGTCACCCGGGGTTCGGTTAGCTTGTGAAGAGAGGGGTATGGTGCAGGTGGGATCGTGGGGTCTGTGCCTTGCGAGTGATGGCTCTCGCAGAGTCATGTGGCAACCGTCTGTCCCTATACTCCGGCACCGCGTGGCGGGTGAAATGTGTGCTGTGGTGTGGTGGTGCAATCGGCCGACGCCCGCCTTCTGTGAGGTACGCCCAGTGTGTCTAGACCTTAGTGCGGCTTGTCGGCTATATAGATTTGACGCTTCTGTCGCCTTTCTTTTCCACTCGCTTGTTGAACTCACGCTCCGATGTGCGACCATCAAGGATGTAAACTTGCTTGGGAGGCTTCCGGCATTGAGGAAGCTTGACCTCGTGCAGGCTCAAGTGGTGGACAGCGGTATTATTGGACTGAAAGAGAGCAGGAGCCTGGTGGATGTAGATCTTTGGGGGTGCGCTGCATTGACGAATGTCAGTCCGCTTGGAAAGGTGCCTACTCTGCGTAGGCTGGTGCTTGCTGAAACTCACGTCTGCGATGACGGCCTCGCTGGTTTGGTTGACAGCCTGTGTCTTGACGAGGTGAACCTTGAGATGTGTGTGTTGGTCAAAAGTGTGGGATTTTTTGGCCGACTCAGGACGTTGCGGAAATTGACTCTGGTGGCGACATCGGTCGATAACAAGGGTATCATAGGACTTGGTAGTAGCATGAGTCTCGTGGAAATTGACCTGTGGGGATGCAGCGCTGTGGATGATGTGAACTCTCTTGGAATGATACCAACTCTGCGAAAACTACACCTTTTTGGCACTTCTGTGACGAATGAGGGTATCAGAGGTCTGAGGAGGAGCAGTAGCCTTGAGGAAATAGATCTGACGCTCTGTGAAGCTGTGACTGAGGCGGAGACACTGTCCAAGATACCGACATTGCGGCACATCGTGCTGCTGCACACGTCTATTCATGACGTGTCGGAACTACTTCTGAAGGAGGTCAGAGTGATAATATGACACAGCCACTGCGCGTGTCGTGGGAAAAAAATGTGGATCACTTGTGCACATAAAGTCTGCTTCTCTTTTTGATATTCATCGTCCCACGCACATTGTCTTTATTTTCCAACCTTCACTTTTGCATTAGTTGAACAGTGGGGGCCTGCATTGCGAAAATGAAGCAGTTATATGATGACGATGATGAGCAGGATTGTCTTCATCACATGGAGGATGGGTCTCTCAAATATGCACGCACGGATTTGCCGGCAATGCTGAAGTATGCTCAGTCATCGACTATTCGTTTTGCCGAGGTGAACCACGACCTCATCTGTGATGCCGCCAACATCACCTCTGCCTCCGAAGAAGCATGCGGCCGAAGGAAATTGGAGGACGCGTACCATGTTCTCGTAAAGATACAGGCACCGATGGTTCGCTACAGCCGGCAAGCATTTCGCAAACTCTGCCGTCTGTGGGGTACGGACGTAAGCTACACGCACATGATCATGGCAGATAGTTTCACTCGCTCCGATGCAGCGCGTAATGCGGAGTTCTCCACCTACGCCGGCGAGGATCGTCTGGTGGCCCAAATTGCCTCCTGCAGTGGTCCTCTTGCTGCGGAAGCGGCAACGCTGCTGGCGCCGTACTGTGATGCGATCGACCTCAACTGCGGATGCCCGCAGCGCTGGGTCATTAAAGAGGGTTTGGGCTCGGCACTTCTGCAAAAACCAGAGATTGTTGCAGACATGGTGTGTTGCATCCGCAATGGGCTCTCAGGAGGAGTGAGCCTTCCGTGCGCTGTGAAAATGCGCGTGAACGAAGATGTGAGGCGCAGCGTGGATTTCGCCCGTCAGTGTGAAGCAGCTGGATGCGGGTGGATCACGGTGCACGGTCGGACACCGTCATGTTCCGCACATGCGCCTGTTCGCCTAGATGCCATACGCACCGTCCGGGAATGTGTCTCGATTCCCATTGTGGCTAATGGCGGTGTGAACAACCCACAGACAGCTCTCAAAACGGCTTTGGCAACTGGTGTGGGGGGAGTGATGAGCGCAACAGGCATTTTGGCTAATCCTGCCTGTTTCTATCTGCCGCGGGATGGCGAGGAGCTGTGCTTCTCCCCACAACTGTGCGGTGTTGATGGCGCTCTGGCTGCACCTGTGGGGCACTGTGTAGGCGCAAAGGCTGGACCTGCTACTGTAGACGGCGAACATTCTGTGTGGCCGAAGGGCCTTCGGGACTGTCCCGTGGAGGTAATATCAGACTTCATCCGCCTGAGCTGTGCGACCGATCTTGCGTCGAAGGCAACCTCAGTTCACCTACAGAAGATGGGCAGGAACTACATGAGCCCGACGGAGCGTGTCTTTGTGTCGCAGATGCACTCGTCTTTAGTTGTTTCAACGTTCCAGCAGCTTGGATTGTATACTCAAGAGGGGAAGTTTCAACCTCTTGAGAGCGTGATATAGGCATGACGTAAATTTCTAACGCACACCGTTCATTAACGCACTTGAACAAGACAGATTTGTGAAATTAAACCCTTTTGTGCGTTTTACCCACCACCATCGCCCTTTGTGCAGTCAAGTCTTGTTATTGTGCTTCTTTTTTTTTGTGTGTGTGTGCCTGCGTCTTTTGTACCGTTGTTGCGCGGCGCGGCTGAAATGGTGGTTGTAGGCAACGTGCGACTCTGTTTTTCCCCATTGTTGAACCCATCCATAGGCATAGTGCGTGTGGCCCAGCGGAGGTTGTGAAGTTAGAGTGTGGCGTCATGCGCCACGGGGACGGCAAGCCGCCGGTGGCTCCACGCAGCACCAGCTGTGAGAAGCCCAAGTCCATCTTGAAGAACACTAACAGTGGCTCGGCGTCCACCAAGACCCCCTCTCCGTCCAGGCGGCGTGTCTCCTTCGAGGAGGACGATAGTTTTACGGAGCCGCGGCTGTGCTTTGGTACGCCGACTCACGCACCGCGGCCGCACCATGAGGCGGCGGCGGGGGGGAATGAGCCCGTTGTGGCGCAGTGGGAGACCACATCCAGAAGGCGGGCTGGCGTGCAAATTGAAAGAGCAGCGGATCTAGGACCGTCTGAGCCGACGATCAGGTGTGACAGACCGGCAGCTTCATCGCCTAATTCACCTCACAACTCCCCTGTCATCACCCCTTACCCGCACTCACCACCCGCCAGCAACAATTATGGCGACGAGGGGACAGCGGGGGGAACTCTTGCATCGAACGACAGGCCGCTAACAGCAGTGCTGTCTTGTGAACCCGCTGCGGGAGCGGCGGTGCCTCGCAGTACCGAGGAGTTGTCTCCGCTGCCGGACGTCAGCGTCAGCGACATCACACCCTCCCCCCCCAGCCTTGTGTCGCGACAGGGCCGATCAGATAGCAGTCGGTCCCCTATGAACAACTGCGCAGTCGCCGCTGCCGCCGAGCAATGCAAACCGCCGGACGTGAGGGAGACACTTTTCCCCGACCGGGATGCGTGCACCGTCCGCGCCGCGCCGAACATTGGCAAGCAACTTCCGTCTGGCACCACCAATTCTCCGTCGCACGCCTCAGGCGAGCTGGGAGCAGTCTTCTTTGGACAGGCTTTGCCGGAGCGAGGCGGAAGAGACGTGCTTGTTCAACCCTCTTCCCGGCACCCCACTTGGTATGGCGGAAGTGCAGAGGCTGTTGTTCGACCTTCCCGCACCCGGGATCCGACTGAGGCAAATACGGGCTGTCATTCCTCTTCGTTGCCGTTTGAGGGCGGTGTCAACCCCGCCGATTTGGTGTTTGATGACTCCCCAAAGAGCAGTGTGCTGGAAGCAGAGGAGATCAAGAATGAATTTCCTGTGGTTTCGGGCTCGTCGCGCAGCCGCCGTGTGCTTGATTTTCCTGTGCAACTGTACCCTAGCCTCGTTGGGCTGGACGGGCCGCCTCACAGCACTGCCCCACTGGAGCCATCGCCCTCGAACGCTACGGACGATGATAGAGAGAGCACGCTGCAGAGACGCAGCGGACGAAAAGGGCGTCGTGCTGCTGGGGACAGTGACCGAACACCCATGCCGCTGCAGCCCGTTTTGCGAGTGAAGAATGCTGGTAAGCCAGGAGAACATCTTTCTGCACGGCAACCCCCAGCTCAGGCTCTTGATATTGCGTGCGCCAACGCCCGCGACGCGGTGGAAGAGCTGACGAATGGTGTTGTGAGGGGCACGGGGGAGGCTCTGGCACTGAAAGAAAACCAAAATCCTTTGCTGTGTCGCGACCACGGCTCGACAGCAGATGGTGCCTCACCGTCTTCTTTATTGAGCTATGCGCACGCGTATTCTAACCTCCCTCCCACGCAGGCGAGGCCCGTGGTGGTTAAGTACATCAACAAGTTGTCTGCGTCCTGGCAGGAGACGCTCCGCGGTGATGTGCATGATGGCCGTCGCCGCCACAACCGCGGCCACTTTGACGATGATACCTGCCCACTGCGTCCTCGACAGGAGGTCACGAGACAGCTATTCCCGGGGGTGTTTTTTGGTCATGCGTCGCTGATGACTGAGGCGTGTCACGCCAACTGCCTGGAGGCCGACACCGCAGGCGTGTGTCCGTTGCTTTCTATCAAGAGTACGGAGGTCGTCCTCCCGAAGCCGATGAAGGCGAAGAAGCAGCGCGGGGGCGCCAAGCCGGCCACCACCACTGTTACAACCACTGCTTCTGCTGTTGCTGTCAACAACAACAGCTCCTGCAGTATTGTCGAAACTCGGCGTGTGGAGCTAACAAAGAGTTCTCCAGAGACGCACATTCGTGAAGGAGCATGTGCCGTGTCAGAGGAGTTTGAGGATGTCGACTCATATTGTGTGCCTTTGGCGCCAGCGGCCAATGTGAATCCGTCAGTTGTGGAGAACGTCAAGTCGGAGGAGGAGGGGGAGGAGGAGAAAGAACGTCGCGCCAAGCGATTTGAGAAACTTCGCCGCGCGCTCCTGCTGGTCTCGGGCGAAGGCATGGCCTCCCCGTCTGGCGGCTCCTGCGTTACAGGCTGTGGCGCCGACTGCCCCCCACCAGATCGCGACTATGGTTGCCCCACTGCGGTAACTGCCTTGACAGAGGCACGACGTCACGTGTCTGTGCGGCAAAGGAGAAATTTGGTGCCTTTGCTGTCATCCGCGACAACGGAAGGGCTCATACATACGCCCGAGCGGGTCCCATCGCCGGATAGAGGTGAGGAGCCCCCGGCTACACGGTCAAAGGCCCTGTTCGCGCCAGCTCGCTCTGTGTCACCGCCAAGGTCTTTTTCCTGCAGCCAGAACGCAAACGTCAGACAGGATGCACTGGGAGGTGGTGTCGCTGTGCTGCCGGAACGCCGTGTGAGTAACCGCACGGCGGCGAGAGCGTTCGCCCGCGATATCTCTGCTGTTGTCCATGCGCTGAGGGAGAGCACCTGGGTGAAGATTTTGTGAGCCTTGCACTTAGATATGCTGAAAGATTGGGTTTTTGTACCTGTGTCCGTGCGTGTGCGGAGATCACGCTGGCGGTGTATGCAAGTTTGAGAGAGAAAATGGAAGGACGCATGTGTGGCGTCATTGAAAGCCGTACTGAAGTACAGCAACGTGACTTGGGACCACGTATGCTGAGACACGCGGACACCGCATGCGCATGTAGGGCCCGCGTGGTCAGACGCGTCCCATCTCTTTTGAGTGTCGTTATGCCTTTTCTTTTATTTTTTCCTACTGTGGAGCATGTGGCTCGAGAGTTAGTAGACAGGTAAAAGGGAAGAACGGCCGGTGTCCTGCGACGCGCGTGGGTATGACGATTCCGCTGACTGAAGAGGATCTTCATGAGCTCTACCTCTGGGTAGATGATATCCCCATCTCTCGCCCGAAGCGCAACATCACGCGTGACTTTAGCGATGGTTGTTGCGTGGCGGAGGTGGTGAAGTTTTTTTTCCCGAGACTGGTTGACCTGCACAACTACACCCCGTCAATGTCAATGAAGCAGAAGAGAGATAACTGGGACACATTGAACAACCGCGTCTTTCGCAAGCTCCACTTTGAGGTGCCGCCGGAGGAGATTAACGACATCACAGCGGGCGTACCAGGTGCGATTGAGCGCTTTCTCCGCGCCCTTCGCACGAAGATTGCGCAGATCAAGGCCCGCCGCGAGAAAATGGGCACGCTGGAAACGTGCCCGGGTGGCAGTGACGACGACGACAAGGAAGGGAGCGAGGCCCGAGGACGAGGCGGTGACTGGATGATGGCGGAGAAGAAGCGGGCGGTGTACCCTCGATGCCGTCCAGGCAGTGGTGTGGGGGCCGGTCCCGCAGTGTATCGCCCGTCGCCCGACGTGAGGAAGGTTCCTGAGACGCGTCGGGACGTCCACGGTAACCATGATAGAAACTATGACACCAATGATGACGACGCTGTCACAAGCTTCCGTCTGTTGCTAGATGAAAAGGACCGCACCATTTTTGAGCTTCGTGAGACTGTCAGTCTGCTGAGCGAGAAGGTGACAAAGCTGGAGGAGCTGGTCCGTGTGAAGGATGGGAAGTTGAATGAGTATCGAGCCAAGCTCAGCCATGTGTGATGCTTTCTCTATCTCTATCTTTATCCCTCTTTATTTCCTTGGAGGAGACCGGGATGCCTGCGGGGTCTTGTGTTTTTGCCAATAGCAGCAATGTTTGCCACCCCGTCGTTGTTGGGCGTGGAACTGGGGGGTCTGAAGCTCGCTACCTGTGCGGAGAGGAAAGACAAGCTGTACCTTGCGAAAAACGCACCTCGATACCCATGCACGTTGAGCCACAGACACACACACACACACACACACACACACACAGGTATTGGGAAAGGTGCGGTATGAACCCTGCACACCGGCGTCTTTTGTGTCTTGCATCTTCTCGATGTATCTCACATATGTTCCCTCACCCTCTTTTTTTACTTTTTTTTCTCTCTTTCTTATTTAGTCTGCTCGAGTTGCACAGGATTGAAGATTTGGCGTGCTTTAGGTAGTCTACTTAACCGTCGTCGACGGATAGGGCACAAACATGAGCGCCCGTATGCAGTTTCCTCTGTCGCAGCGGCGACACACAAACGTTGCCGTCGTGCGCTACACAAAAAATGGGCTTAGGCTGGAGATTGCCTGTTACAAGAACAAGGTGATCTCGTACCGTGGCGGGATCGAGACGCGCATGGACGAGGTGCTGCAGGTGGAGCGCGTCTTCACGAACGTCTCGCGCGGTCTATATGCCTCAGAGAAGGAGATTCAGACCGTCTTTGGCAAGGGAGCAAGCGAAAAGGAGGCACTGCAGTACATCCTCGATCACGGTGAGCTGCAGGTCGCACAGCAGGAGCGGGCGGCGGAGATAGATCAGATGTTCATTGATATTGCTGTAATCATCTCGCAGAAGTGTCTGAACGAAGTCACACAGAGACCCTTCCCCAGTCAGGTCATTGAGCAAGCGCTGCGCTCCATCGGCGCCGTGGTCAAGCTAGATCAGCCGGTGAAGAAGCAGGCCCTCGCGCTCATTCATCAACTCATAGACGCGAAGATAATTCCCATTGCGCGCGCGCGGATGAAGCTGCGCTGCATCGCTCCCGACGAGCCTTCACTGGAGAAGCTTGTTGAGTGGTGCGAATCAAACGATGTCTCCATTCTTCGAAAGACTGTCGACACTGGAGGGGCGGATGGTGCAGTGCTCACACAGTCGCTGGTGATTCTTCTGCAACCCCATTTGTTCCGCGAGATTGAAAAGTTTGTCAAGAGTGAGCTTCCACCAGGGGGAACAGTGCATATGATTGAGAACGCCGCAGTGGATGTGGGTGAAGGTGGTGTGATGGACGCAGAGCTTATTGCGCGTGCCAATGCTCACGTGGCGGGAGCCGGTGGGGTGGGGAATGCCGATACGAGCCGTTTCACTGGCAGCAGCAGCAGCAATCCCCAGAACGATAGCATCCGAGGCAACAAAAGGGGGAAGGGGGGCGGCCGGAAACCGCAGGGGATGCAACGTGTATTGAGCAAGGACGGGGACACCGATCAGCAGACTTCAGCTACTGCCGAGCTGTCATCGATACCTGCGGAGGCTGACAGGGACGGCGACGACTTGATGGTGGCTCTCAGCAAGTTAGCCCTCGATGAGAAGTGTGTCTCTGACGATGAGGAGGCGGACGGAAAGGGTAGACGCGGGAAGAAGGCGAAGCGACGCCAGGGCCGACAGCCACAACAGCGCTTGCCGGCTACCCCCAAAAAAGCGGTGGGGGCTGAGGGTGGAGAGGGGAGCGATGATGAGATGCTAGCAAACCGCAAACAGCGCAAGCAGGCGGCGGCGAAGGTGAAGACGAAGGATGACGGTGCAAACCACGGGTGGAATGACGATGATGATGATGCTTACGGCTACAATTGTGAGGAGGAGGAGGAGGGAGGGGGGGGGGGAGAATGCAGGAGCTGAGGATAATCAGCGGGCATAGCCATCACGACGCAAACGAGAGTGCTGCCCTGTCAGCCGGTTTTTTTGTTTGTGTTTGTGTGGGATGTGTCTTGTACCCAGAAGTGGGAGGGATGTGAGGAATGTGCTGCTTATTCGATTAACAATAGGCTCATAAATACAAAGCAGTGGGGTGCCCACTTGAGCACTAAAAGAAACGCAAGATAAGCATATGGGGATATGCCTTACGTATATATTTATATATACATACAGGCATGTAAGTACGCTCCAGAGAAGTTGTGTGATTGTCTTCATTGGAAGCGGTTTACACTGTGCTTTATATATATATATTCTTCTTCCTTTGGTGCCTTGCTGTGCGGAAGAGTCCGTTGTCACATTAGAGCTCATTGAAGAGGATGTGGAATGCGCTTAGTCGCCTCGAAGCGCCGACGCTAGTGGGGTCGAACAGAGCTGACCTGTCAGCTGTCGTCGCTCCTTCGAGTGCCGGTGAGGAGGCGTTAGCTGTTTCAGGAGCGCGCATCACTGCCGCCACCGCCCTGAACAGAGCTGCGGTTACGACAGAACGGTCCGGTGCTCGTGGGGAACCCACGACACAGGCTGAGGGAGCCAAATGTGGTGGTACTTTGGCAGAGTGGGAGGCGTTTTTGGTGTGTCAGCTTGACAATGCGTTCTACCGTGGGGCGGCACTGCTGCCTGGGTTTCCTGTGCTGCGACGCGAACTGCGTACCACACCTCACGTGGTGGACGTCGATTTGTGGAACTCGTACTGGTCTGCGTTTTCCGACCGCTTTGCTGCCCACATCGATAACGTGCAGGCATGCCTGCGTGGTCATGCTGGAGAAGGCGAGCAGCGACGCGTTCTTGTTGCGGCATCGCTTGCCGATGAGTCCAGTATCGAGTTGTTTAAGAACGACCTCGCCGCTCATGCCCATTCGTTTGGAGCTCTAGAGCAGGTGAGCCGGGAACGTTGTGTCGTGATGCTGCAGTTCACCTCTCCTTGCGCCGCGGAGATCTTTGCGGCATGGGCTTCTTCGCTCACCCTGAAGGACTTTTTTTCTGCGCCCGATCCCTCAGAGCAAGCCAGCTCCCACTGCCGGCTGCTGGTACGTCTCATTTCCCATGATGCCGGCATGATTACCTCGACACTCGAGTTGGGAAGCAACATTGTGCTTTCTACCCCATTTGTGGAGAGTCTGTTCAAGGGTGTCTTCGACGCCGTGAGCGTCACCTATCATGAGGGTTTATTCCTGGTTGCCTTTGCGTCGGTCCTTGCGGCAAAGACTGTCCTTCACTCCCTGCAGAGGTCACTCCTAGAGGTGTTCGGGCTGTCGCTGACCTTCTCGGAGCATCTCGCTGGGCATTGTGAAACACGTCTTCTTACGGAGCGGTCGGGCAGGGAGAGCTCCTCGTGATAAATGGTTGAGTGGTCGGGTGCCTATTCTGTCCTGCTCTATCTCTTTCTTTCTTTCTCTGCGTGTGTATGTTTGTCTGCTTTCTGTGGCGTGCACTCTGTGGTTTATTTGGGGTGTGTTTCTTACCAATTTTCCGTGGGGTTCGGCAGTCTCCTGTGTGCCAGGTAGGAGAGGTATCATGGCTAGATGGATACAGTTTAATAATAGTAGGATCAAACCTCGCGGGCGCACTCGGCGTGCGTTGTTTGCTTTGCTGATGACTCTGGGAGTGTTGGTGTGGATGCTTGTGGTGTTGCAGCTACATTACGGGGGTGACGGTGCCGCCACCGCGACGTCAGTGAAACCGTCATCGGCACCAGCAGCACGAAGCCGAGTCCACGCTGCTGCTTTTACTATCACTAATGCTACTGACAGTAGTGAGAAATTATCTTCCATGTTTCTGAAGGGGAATATGGCGTGCGCAGCCAAATCAATTGATCTCCCCTATTTCTATCCTATGCACCGACATCTACCCGCCAATGGGTCTGCTGTCGCTGCAGCGATTGAGGAGAAACAGATGCGCCGTCAAGCAAGCTGCTGGGCAACTGCCCATGAGTCACCTTTGTTCCCTTCACCTCCAAGCCATGAAGCAGCTCTACTTCGGCCTGTGCATGTTGAGGCAGCCGATGCTATGCTGCGGCAGGAGTACTTTTTTGCTCGTCAAACACCGACAGATTCTATGGGTTCCGGCACGTTTTTCTCTGGGTATGATACTCCAGTCACTGCGGTTAACGAAACTGTTGCTCCATGGTGGGTTACTGACAAGTTTCACCATTTGCCTTGCACTGTGGAAGTACAAAAACGTCTTTATGAGTATCAAAATAAGGCGTCATGTGGTGATCGGAAGTTTCTTCTCTCTGACCTCAAGGAAGGAGGGCATGGTCTTGGTTCTTCGCTTATTGTTGTGGCTTTTGACTTTCTTAGTGCCTTAAGACTTGGAAGGAGTTTGTTGATTGGCGGTCCAAGATTTAGCAAAAAGTGGCAATTCAGTGCTCAGGGATGTTGGCAGGAGAGACGACGGTCTCTGGATTGCTTTTACCTTCCACCATCGCGATGCCAGTTCCCAGGTGGGCCTGTTCAGGTGGTGCGCAAGGGGCGCGACGCTGCACGTAGTTCTGCCCGAGTGATACGCAAGTACTCCGTTGATATCCCCGGTTTGGACAGGAGCACGCTCCCGTCAGAGGAAGCTTTCTTTGGTCCGGGCCATCGGCAGTGGGATTGCTACCCAAAGTATCAACAGTGGTTGCAAGACCCTGCAAATGTTGCTGTGTATGGCACTTTTGAAAGTGGACTTGACACACGACTCTCATTTATGTTGGCACAGGCGTTTACGTACCTCACACGTGCCCCCCAACCGTGGTTTCAAGCAATGATTGAGTACCACCTGGCGCCGTTAGGTATAGCTACATCACACGCAATGCGTGCGGCTTCCTATTCCGGCGCATACTGCATGTTTTACGTTCAAGATCGCGGCGAGGTAGCTAAAATGAGGGAATATTATAACGTTTTTGGTTGTCATACTGTTGGACTTTCGCTTTATAGAGACTATGTGTGTGCCATTGGTAATTCCTTTGGCGGAAATTCATCTCAAACTCCGTGCAGAGTTTATATCAGTGGTGGGACACCGCACCGGAGTTATTTGTGGCTTAAGAGGGAATTTGAAAATGCATCTTATGAGGTTTTGAGCACGTGGAATCTTTCCACACTTAACGCTGGATCTGAGTCGATGCGATGGGGCGCAAGTTCGCCTGCAGCATCGTGGGTGGATTTGTACGCCGGAGTTGCTAGCACCAATTGGGTGTGTGTGGTGCAATCAAATTGGTGTCGAATGATTAATTTTCTTCGTCTGACACATGGACGCGTGGACTGTGGCTTTGTGGACATTGGTGCGATGTTGTTGACATCTATCGAGGCCCGAGAAAAGTACTGTGTCGTGTCTAACTTTCCGACAAAACCCTTTTCGAACGTCATACGGCGCTGATTTTTGCCTCGTTGCAGGACACGGTGTTTTTTTTCTTTTTTTGACTGCTGTTGCTTTTGGGAGGGTTCCAAACTTTTCTACTGTCACTGTGATTGTCTTTTTTATTGTTATTGCGATTTTTGTGGTTGTGGCTTTAAAAACGAAAAACAAATTGCGATGCTGCACCGATATTTCCTGCGGTTCTTTTTCTTATTTCTTTCTTGCTGTATTTTTTTTTCGTGTGTATGCTCTCCAGATTGTCTTTTGGAGCCAAAGGGAAGGTGTTACTCTTGTGGGGAGACGTCCCTCTTTTTGTTTCCGCGTGTGTGTCCGTGTATAAGGGGGTGCACGTCTTCATGGCCCTAAGTGACTTCACGGGCATCACTCAGCGATGGAAGTTTAAGAGAATTGTCATCGTCGCTAGTGATGGTGTCTGCTGGCTGAGCGCGGCGTCTGCCATCTCGCTGGCTGCATCGCCCTTCTTTCGCCCTGCTACGCCTAGTGATACCATGAGCATAGTTGTCGTCAGTCGATTTGGTGTTCCGGGTTTTACTCTTCGTGCAGATAAATGCCAAGGTAATAGCGACTGCAGGAGTCTTGCTTTTGCAGCGTTTGAATCTTTGTGTCGTGATTTGCCAAATGGGGCGGAGCTTATGACGCGTGTTGCATTTGCTGTGGACACAACACGAATAGCTGGAGCTCAGTGCTTTACACCAGATGTCAAAAACGATTTGTATGTTTATTTTTCCGCTTGGAGCGACGCAGACTGCTGTGGTCACACGCCTCTTGTTTCGCTTGCTTCAATTCGCACATGTGGTGGATATCTTATTATTCTCTCTGACGATGTCACACGACGCTCTGCATGGGGAACTGCAGTGATGCATCTTCCAGGATGGAGGCTGATTGGATGCTTTGTATCGTCTTTTGCCCCACCTTCAATCGATCTGCACCTCACCCGGTCGTTTGTGCGTCAGTGCCCTGCAATAAAAGGGTTACTTGAGTGTGTTGCCCTTGGTGTGGCCATGGGGACCGTAAAGCACTTGCCTGTGAGTTTTCGTGATCCTATACATGTTGCCCCGCTGGATGTGATGCTCATCACAGCATTGGCGGCCGTTTTGTTTCAAGATGATAGGGAACTTTCGTTTTTCTCGTCGGATGCTGTCATGCTGAATGTAGAATGTGCCACGAATGAGGCATTGGTATGGGGAATGGCCGCTGAGTACATCATAGACTACTATGGACGACTTGGTCCAGCGGTAATGAGGTCATTTCCGTTTCCGCAGTTGCTTGACACGCAACCAACATTGCAGCTTAGTGCCAACATCACAGACTGGGTCAACTACGGGGTCTCCTTGATGATGCCGTGTCAGCGCTATTACACCTACCTGGAGGCCCAGCATCGGAAACGACTTCTGAACAAATTCTCTGACTCCGGGACCATCAAGTGCGTACGTACTGCCCTTGACAACATTGACACGGCTGTTCAGTGCATTACTGCGATGACAACAGCCCGTATGACGGTTCCACATTCCAAGGATACTTCAGGTGCCGCTAAACCACCGACGTCGACATGCACGGCTCCTAACACACGGTATTACCAAATGCTGCTGCAAAGAGTAACACAGGACACGTCTCTTCGACATCTTCTTCCATTTATTTCATTGAAGAACGTTCAGTGGGATTTGTATGTTAAAGTTGTTGCTCAGGCCGTGGTGGAGCGCGTCGCATGTCAAATTTTTCAATGTCCCTCCGATTTACCTTTTCCTGTCCCTTTATATCATAATGACATTGTTTTTCACGGCACGCGCAGAGTACCGTCAACGTCGTTATCTCCTCGCAAATGGTTCTCAGAGATACATTGGCTCGTGCGATGTGGAATGAACCCCGATGGGAAGCGGTTTGCCGCTTCGCCCATGCTTACAAAGGAGTCTATGTCACATATCTTGACGCGCCCGAGTGTGTTGCGCAGCATAGAGGAGGAGGCAGCGAAAGAAAAGTCTTCGAATGTTGCCGTGCACAGGCGTGCTGCAGTGATCCTTCGTACAGTTGGGGACAACCTTAACCAGTGGCAACTTCGTGTCTTTGGTCTTCTTGTGCGCCGAGTACTTTTTCGTTTGTATGAAGAAGTGAGTCTGAACGCGGAGGCCTTTGAACGCCTGCACAAGGTGTTGAAAACACCACGTGTTGAGGTTGTGTTGCTTCCTGCTCATCGTTCCTACTTGGATTTCATTATCATGACGTATTTGCTTGTGGTGATGGGCTTCTCACCACCCCATGTTTGTGCGGGCGATGACTTTTTGCGAATGGGGCCTATCACAAAGCTTATGCGTGGCAGCGGCGCTTTTTTCATGCGTCGCTCATTTCGTGACGATCGCCTGTACTACACGCTTTTCAGGGAATACCTGAGACAACTCGTCCTTCAGCGTCGAGTGGTGGAGTTCTTCATTGAGGGCACACGAAGCAGGACCGGCAAGACGCTTTGCCCAAAGCTGGGCATCCTCCGTTTTATCACCGACACCTTCTTTGAGGTGCAGGATGAGGTGGATGATATCTACTTTCTTCCCATCAGCCTCTCCTATGACGAGCTCTTGGAGACTAGGTTGTTTGCGGGTGAACAGTTTGGAGTGTCAAAGCCGCGTGAGAACATCAGCAATTTGCTTAGGGCGCGTTCGCTATTGAACACGCGGCATGGCAAAATTCACGTGCATATTGGCGAAGCGTTTTCGTTGCGTCATTTCCGTGACCAGCCCTATCAGTGCCCTATACCGTTTGAACCGCGGGGAGAAATTGTTGAAATGCCTCAGCGCCGTACGACCCACCCAACTCCGCCGCAGGTACTGTTGAACTTGGCATGGCACGTCACGCACAGCATTGAGGAAAATACAGTCGTCACTCCCACCGCCCTCGTCGCCATGGTGCTCAATGTATTTGCCCCAACGGCGGAAGGTATGCCACTGGCGGAAGTTCATGCACGAATGACATGGCTGCGCACAAATATTGTGAAGCGGAAAGGCGCTCTTAGCGATGATTGTACAAATTGTGACGTGGAAGAAATTACGCGCAAGGGAGTTACACACCTCCGAGACTTTGTTGAAGTTTTGGATAATGGTACGAAGCGAATTGTGGTTCGCCAGGATGTCGTATCTTTTATGGGTCTCACCATCTGCAGTAACCAGCTGGTTCATGTTTTTTTGGATGAAGCTGTGGTTGCTGTAGCCGCCCGAATGTATGGTACATTTAATGGCGTGGAAAACACAGTCAGTGTGGAACTCCAACAGTTGCAGGATGGATCTCAACAACTGCGTCAATTGCTTTCATCGGAGTTTCACGACTACCTCCCTTTCTGTCCCTATACGTTTGTTTCATGGTTTGAACACGGCCTCGCACGACTATTATCTTGTTGTGAGTCGAACTCTGAATGCGACCCCTCCTTGAGCCTCAGCGGCACGATCGATTGTGGCCAGAAGAATAATAATAGTGATTTATCCATGAGAACAACAAACGCCGTTGTTATATCAGTAACAAGGCTTTTCCGTCTCTTGATAGCTATCCTTTCTCCCTTCCTAGAAGCAATTTTTTTTGTTTCCCTCGGCGTCTGTGCAGTTGTTGAATCCGGGTCTGAGAGTGTGGTGCACAAATCTTCGCTGTTGAAAGCCTGCCAAACGTGCATTTTGAAACTGCACGAGGCCAAAAACGTTGTACACCCTCAGTCTGGCAGTAATGATATGTTAAAAAATGCTCTTGAGGGGATTGCATTGCTGTACAATGTCCAACTTGATGCTGACGCTAAGAAGGCTGTGTATGTGATACCTGCAACGACCGACCGTGCTGTGCTGTTGACGCGACTGCAGCAGCTCATGCAGCACGTCTGCGGCATGCACTCAACCTCACCTGATATGTTAAAGAAGGAGGTACAGAAGACGGCTCAACGTGGCCTCCTGAAGGAGTATTTGCGGCAACTGGCAGTAAGCAGTCAGTCGTCCAAGATGTGAGTGGCACATGAAGAAGAAGAAAAATGATAAAAAACGGAGTATTTTTGTGGCATGCCGCAAAAAAGACAAACAAACACATATTACAGAGACACAAAACATGGGGCGACAGTGGCTCTCCCCTCACGTTTCTTTTAAATACCGTTACAAAAAACATGAGGATCCCAATCGGTGTTCTACCACCCCTGTCTCCTCCTCCCGCTTCCTATGCTGCCGGCGCCGCGATAACGCTGTGCGGGGGGTAGGTGCGTATGTGTGTGTGACAACTGGCTGAGTAGTGATGTTCGTTTTTTTATTGTGTTTTTACTCATTATTCCTCATTACCAGCACCTCTTACCCACTCACCCCCTCCTCTCTCTCTCTCTATATATATATATATATATATATATCTTTGTTATGCTTTCTTCGTTTTTCTTTCCATCACATTGTCTCTGCCGCGGCACAACTGGCGTTCGCGTGACGCCTGGATGCGGAACCAGAAGAGGAGGAAACAAAACGATGGGTTTGAGCGCTGACCCTGGACAAAACAGATGTTGATGTTTCTTTTCGTCCCTCAACTCACGCACAGACGTTGTGTAGAGGTACCAAATCAACCGAAATAAGATTAAAAAGAACTATAACAAAGAAAAAAAAAACAATTGATAATTTTTACAAAAAAGAAAAAAGAAAAAAAAGGTTCTATGACTGGAAATGACAGCAAGCAATCAGAGAGAAACTTAGTAGTGAATACCAATGGCTCTCTGTGGCCATCCAAGATATGCGTAGCTGCCACGCTAAGATGGATTGGATATCGTATTACCTGTCTTTTCCTGGAACTACCAGGCATCCACATGTGTTTGTATCTCCCCTTTTTTGTGTGTATGAACTTCCCTTGTTTGAATTCTTTTATGTCTCCTTCTTTTTGTCTACTGCTGGCTGGTGGTTGGATGATGCGGCAGAGCAACTAAAACAGAGTGGGTTCTCGGAGTCTGTGGCGTGGGTGGGTGTCGAGTTGGGGCAACGAACAAGATAAGTGTGCAAGCTTGTTTCCACATATGCCTTCATTGCGTTATGTTTTGAGGCTATTCCGCACGGCATTGTGGGACCTCTGCTTCCCGGATGAAGTCACGTTGTACATTGATCCCATTATTCGTTTTATCTTTACGGTTTACCATCTTCCCCCAATTGCACTTGTCTTGGCGATCACACACAGTGAACTTGAGCGTATTGTCTGGGTGCTTATCGTCCCCGTTGCGCAGGAGATGGAAAAACAACCGTATGATTCTTCACGTATGACGACGTTTATACTTGGAATATATCATATTTTTCTTCAAATTTTACCCTACGCGACGCTGGGAGTGGCTGTTGCTACATTTGGCCATAAAGTTCTTCACTGTTTTTTGGAGGCGATGGTGGATGCACATTCTACACACCACGGCAAGGATTATCCGCTGCTTGCGACCAGACTAAGATTTATCATGGAATACAGGCAAAGGTATTATGTCTTTCTTGTTATCATGTTTCTCCTTGTCACAGTGGTGCTCTCAGGATTGCATACCAGCCTTTTTGTGGCATGGCCGGCACGTGAGCCGTGGACAGTTAGTAGTGCATGGTGCATCATTGCTATGCAAACCATCTTTGTAATAGGCTCTGGACTCAGTCACAAGGCGTTACCTCCTCATCCGTTTCATTGGCGACGCATTATGGGGATTGGAGACGGCAAACTTGCCAAGTTTTTTTGTGATACTTGGTGGAAATCGTACGTGCATTATATGCGTTACATTGCAATTGAAATGGCTGTCTTACTTGCCTCTATAACCCTCTTCTTTCGTGGCCCTCTGTACGTTCTTTCATCCTTGGTGGAGCTTGTTATGTATTTAAATATGCCCCATCTTGTGGGGCACACAGTGATGTCCATGTCAACTGCCATTATTAATATGCAACGTTCATTGCATTGGTTAAAACGGCATTCTGACGCCACTCTTCCTGTCATGCTTCTTACCTCTCCGTGTCAATTGTCATTGGTTCAAGCGATTTATTACTTTCGTAATCATCATTTGACAGTTGCATTACTTATTGGGGTAAATGTTATTCTTATTGCACGTGTAATTGATCTAGTACGGGAGTTTGATGTGTCAGAGGCGGGATCTGTGCATTGGAAATACGTAGGTAAGGATGGTCTTATTCCCCCACAGCTTTCTACTCTCTTGGAAGATGTATATGAAACTAAACTGCCTCAGTTGGAAGTGGTAACACTTGATCTATTGATAGATATCAAAGACATGAAACTCCACCGTGATGAGGAGTTGGTGGACCTTGAACGAAAGCAGATTGTTGAATATGGAAGTGCTCAGAGTTTTCTTTACAATGGCCGTTTCTACGCCTATACCGTTCCTCGATTAATTTCTGCACAAAGTTCTGGGCTCTTTGGTGGAGTGCAGTTTCGCAGAGTGTATGTTTTGCTTCGCATGATTACAAGTTGTTGTTTGCTGGCCTTTGCAGCCCTTGTGTGTGGTCTGCTTTTTCAAGCGGCCTTTCCACAGCTTCGCCCGTGGCCGGTTCGCGTCCACGCCTCAGAGGATGGCAGTGCATTGACAGTGGACCACATTGTGGTACGTATGCACTTTCTTTCCAGTCAAGCTAATGTGACACCAAATTTGCCTCTTACATCACCTGTTACAGCGTCTGCCTCTGCTGCATTTGAATGGAGGAATACCACCTCCCTAGGTGAGGACTGGTACCCATCATTGTGTGCGAGGACTTTTTATAACATTTCAATCTGGGAAATCTCATTGCTCGCGCTGACCTCGTATCTCTTCAACGATGATGAGGTGAGTGAGATGCTAAATTTCATGTCAATGCATATGGGTAGCGACTGGGTTGTTCGCGAGCGTCACGGAACAGATTGTATCACGCTTGATTCATTCACAGAGCCTACAGGGTGGGATGGATATTATGATTTTTATAGTTCCAAACACGATCTTTCTGTCATTGCAATTCGCGGAACTGACATGACGTCATTCCGAGATTTTCTTATTGATGTAAATGTTTTTTTTGATGTTGTTCTCTACCATCTACTTTCAAATATTGTTCCAGGAGCCGTCATTCTGCCTTCAGAACTCATTGCCGATCTTATTCGCTTGGCGTCTCTTCCCGCAACCACGAACCGAGAACATGAGACATGGAAAACTTTGACTGCCAGCCAAAACAAGGGTCCTCGCCTTTGTGAAACGAATAACTACCGAAGAGATTTTTTTGTTGACGTTTACAACCATCTCGGATTTGTGGGAAACCAGCCAAATCCACCGAAACACGTTCTTCTTACAGGTCATTCCTTGGGTGGTGCGGTTGCCTCCGTAATTGGGTCGCGGATGGGCATTCACGCTGTCAGCTTCAGCGCTCCTGGTATTTCCCTCTCACGCAAAAAGTTTGGTCTTGAACTCCAGAACATTCATCATTTTGTGACAAGAGTCACTTCTTCACATGACATCTTCCCTATGATTGGGGGCACAGGGGGGGAGGAGCATCATGTTGAGTGCCTGGCAAAGACGCGGGAGCTTTGCCACGCTATGGAATTTCTCGTGGGAACTTTGTGGCGATCATGTGGCTCCATTAGAGCACGTTACCCTTCGATTCAGTCGGTTCTTTAGGCGACAATGCATCGTCACCCCCGCCACGACGAAACTATGGAAGGGAGTAAAAGTGTTTGATGAAAGCAAAAATGAAGAGGCACGCGGCGCCTCTTCCTGCTGGAGATGGTTCTTAGGTGTTGAGCTCATCAAGCAGCGGGGCACTGCTGGTGAATTGAAATCACTGTCATGTTGAGATTTAAGAAGCAGAATGTCATGGCCTTTGTAAAGGAATGCGTGGAATGGAAATGAAATTTCACTTGTTATTAAGGCTTACGCGGACACGGGCGATTTTCATCACCCACTTCTCCGACAAAAGGGATGGTGTGCGAAGGAGACGTATTTGTACATGACGAAGAGTAAAAAATTGTGCATCATTCTCCAAATTGTTATTGGTTATGATCGCCAGCGTCGCTGCCATTTGTTGCATAGAGATCTTACTTCAAGTTTTCCTGAACTTTTTAGTGGCTTGATGGAGTTGTGTGATTGTGGGCTTGCCAAGTGGTTTGAGGGGGTCGTATGTAGCTTGATATTGCCGTATGAGGAACAACATGGTATTGGTATTGTTTGCTAGAGCCATTTAAAGAAGATCTTATAATAATAAATCTAGTGCGTAGTGATTGAGCGTCATTTGATATGATTTGAGCACCTTGCATAAACCGCTTTGTACGTTGTCGCTTCAACAATACCTTTAAAACCTTGTAATGGAGCCTCTATGGCTCATAGTAGGTCAAAACTTGATCTGAGCATGCTTGTGGCTCCTTACAAACTTCAGTACCAACTGTTCACATGGGCCTGCTCGGTTTTGTGATCCAGGTGCCACACGGCAGCTTCTTCATGGCTCATGGCGGCCGTAATGCAAGACACCATAGCGACTGTCATCAATATACAGCACATCACTGAACTCTATTCATTTCTCAATGGTGCCACGGTTGGTTCCCTCCGGCCACCACATCTTGTATGACTAACAGTCCACGGCGAATTTGGCCCTTATTTTTGTTTAAACGACAAGGGTGAAGGTAAGTCTGTAAATGACGTGGGTGCTGGTGACACAATTCAGGACGCACGCACCCCACCACTCACATCTCTTCCAATGTAAGTGCGTAATTTATTTATTGTCCCTGCCATTGTGAGGGACATTTGGCCTTTGGAACTGCTACAACAATTCGTTGCCCCCATACGATTGCTACGATGCCTGTAAGACGACCACGGCCTTGCGTGCCGTTGTGTAGAGAAAGAGGAAAGGCGTGGGACCTGATCCGCACTTATTGTTGTGATTGAATACGAGAGAACGTTTTGCTGGAAAAGGGGCGTTTTTTTTTATATATTTTTTTTTCCGATTCATTAGGCAGAGAGAGAACGATGTGGAAAGGCCATGGTGGTCGTACCTCGTGGTGGTGGGAAGGCTCGTTCTACCAGGAAACGAACAGGAGGCGAGTATTACAAGAGTGCAGTGGGTAAACACGGAAATAATTGCGATGTTTTTGTACAGGTTTCTCTGTCGTTTTTTTTTTTTTTTTTGGGGGGGGGGACGGTTTGTATGCGGCTTAGGGGGATTTGAAGTATCTTTTATTAATTGTTTTCTCGTATTGAGATGAATTAATACATGAAATATATACTTAAGGGTGACTGGATTGGGTGTTCAATTTAACACAAACTGGCACTGCTGGATGCAGTATGTTCCTTGACACTTTACTTCTAGTTGCCTTTGCATATATACTAGTTCCTGTTGTTTCGAAGGATACGACATTTCTTTAGTGAGAGTAGTGGGGGACGTGAAGAAAGACTGAGTGGGTTTGTGTGTGTGTGGGGAGGGGAGGGGGGGGGGGACAAAAAAGAGCAGCACTGCAATAATACGAGGAGTAACAACACACGAAGCATGCCTAACCCACCCACCCCGCAGTGTGTGCGGCGCTTACAGAAGGAGTATTCTGCTTTGTGTCGAGAGATCGACCCGTTGTTTTTCGCTATCCCCTCCGCAAAGAGTATTTTGCATTGGTACTTCATCATCAACGGCCCTGTTGATACGCCTTATGAAGGCGGTCGCTACTTTGGGCGATTGAATTTTCCACCTGAATATCCAATGAAGCCGCCTGAGATAATTATGCTGACACCTACTGGGCGTTTCGAGGTTAACATGGCAATCTGCCTCACTATGAGCAATTACCATCCGGAGAACTGGAGCCCGCTGTGGGGGATCCGAACCATTCTTACCGGTTTACTTTCGTTTATGGCGGGGGAGGAATATGCCACTGGATGTATGGTTTGTAGCGATGCGCAGCGAAGGAAGTACGCTCGTGAGAGCCGTCGTTTCAATGTGGAACAAATGACATTGTACAAGCAACTCTTTCCAGAAGAATATGAGAAAGATTCAGCAGCCTTGAAGGGAGAGAGCCATGAGAACAACGGATCCATGTGTAAAACAGATGGTCACGTGGAGAGTTGCGGTGCGGATGCGAAAACGGAAGGCGCGATTGGATTGCAAGAAGAGCAATGGAGCTGGTTGTCTCCGATGCTTCTAAGTCTTTTTGCTGTGGCAATTGGGGCCTATTTTTGGCTGTGGTGAGGTGTGGTTTTTCTCTACGAAACCCATGTAACAGAACACTTTCCCGCACAAGCTGCTGAAAGCTTGTGCGGGTTACTTGCGATCAGACACACCCTGGGAAACGGTACTGTCTTCTGTTCACTTTTCTTGTTATTGTGTTTTCGCTGCTTGATTTTTGTTTCCAGCGGCGCCGTGGTGGAAGACAATGGGTGCAACTCCTCGGCTTCTCCCTCCCACCCTGAACCCCAGCAACTGCCGGCGGCCCTTCGGAACGGTGCGCAGCCCTTGAGGACCCCCGCGCTAAGCCACACCGCCATCACCGCCGCGCTCCCTTTTGCCCCACCTCCGTGTGCATTTGTGTGTGTGAACTTGCGTTTGGGTCGGAGGTACTTTTGTCGTTATGAGGCTGTTGTTGTTCTTTTTTTTTTTTGCGCACGCCGGTCGGGGGTTGTGGGTGGGGGGGGTGGAGCCACCGCCCCAGTCCCTCTGCCACAGGGTCCGAACAAAAAAGGATCAATTTTAAAATAGAGCCACTAAGACATTCGAGAGGAGCAAAGCTGCGCAGCACCTGTCGCGCATCCGGAAAGCAGACGGTGGGCATGCAGATTGCCGTGCTGCCTCCGCAAGCCAGAGCCTCAGCGGGCCGCGTGAATGCCGTTGGCTTTTGTTGCATTTGATTTGGCTGGCGCCTGCGAGGGCAATTGCGGAGCCGTACGAGCGTGTGTGTTCCTGCCATTCTTTGCCTATTTCCTGAACGCCGCACTTTGGAAGCGGCTGAATAGCTTTTCAAAAAAAAGGCACGAAAAAGCACTGACGGTGGTGGGGTTCGAACCCACGCCCCTAGAGACCAGAGCCTAAATCTGGCGCCTTAGACCACTCGGCCACACCGCCGCTCTCGTAACGGGTCAGGGAATTCCGACGGGCTGAAAAAAAGCTCCTTCAACAGCATTACCGCCCTCCATTCTTAAATACTAAAATAACGGAAGCCGGTTTGGAGGCACCGATCAAAAAACATGGGACCTGAAAAAGCCTAAAAAAAAAACCGTAAAGGTTTCCTTTTTCGTCACTTGAAGATAAAACCTAACGGATTTTTTTCTTCAACAAAAAAATAGCCGCATCCATCGGTCGACATACCCAAGTGGTTACGGGGTTTGACTTGAAATCAAATGCGATCTCGCGCGCAGGTTCGAACCCTGCTGTCGACGTTTTTCAGTTCCTTTCTTTTGCCGCGTCTACAGATGTGGTGGGAAAATGCGATCAGTGAGGCTCGAACTCACGACCTTGGGATTATGAAACCCACGCGCTGCCGACTGCGCCATGCTCGCTCGCCCGCACGCAGCGATCTTTGTCTTCTCCGCCTCTTATTGCTGTCTTGAAATGCGGAGGGGGGTGGAGAGAGAGAGATCTTGGATGGTCTTTACGCAGTATGCTTGTATTGGATTTTGGATCTTCGTGTCCGGTGTGGTATAGTGGCTAGAACAAGCGGCTCTCACCCGCTAGACCCGGGTTCGATCCCCGGCATCGGAATTTTTCGAGCCCAGCGTTCCAAGCACACCGTGCTATTTTCAGCGCACACGGACCCCGCA